TTGATTGTCTTGTATGATTTTTATTGCAATATTTTCAGAATATACTCGGGTGTTTTATTTCAATATATAAGTGTTGGAACTTCTTTAAAATCTCCACAGCAATTCACATCTGCTACACAAATTAAAGCAAAATATATAACAACGAATATTTAAATAAAAGACGATCATTCATTAATTTTGGATAACTTAAATCAAATACATTCGAGCACTGGTTAGTGATCGACTAAGTTAACAGTCATCGATATTCGATACTCATCGAATTTAAAAAAGTAAAAGCAACTGCTGTCTTTGGGGTCGTTCACATATCACGTGATCAGCCGAGGGGGGAGGGGGGTTTCCAAATGATTACGCTAGTATATTTTGATACAATATTTATGTGTAAAACTGATTACGGAGTCGAGGGGGGCCGGGGGGGGGTAAAAATTGACCAAAAAGTGATTACGTAATATGTGTGAACGACCCCTTATCAGTTATGTCACTATTAGTGCCTGATATTCATTCTTATGGCCGGAAAAATGGGTTGTATAATGTATAAATACAATGTAATTGTATAATGTATAAATACAATGTAGTTGGCAGGCTCACCGAATAGTCGTTTAGTGTGTTTGTGGCTTGCTGAGTCGGCCTTGTCAGAACTCTACTGAGCTCTAGTTTCAAGTCACTTCTGATGTTGTGGTATACTGAGCTCTCTCAGTGTCTTCCTCCCTTTACTGATCACCTCTCACACTGAGCTCTCCACATTCTCGGTGCCTCATGATGATCCACTCTCTCAATGTCTTCCTCCCTTTACTGACCACCTCTTACTCACTTCTTCCTGCTGACCCTCATGATGATCCACAGAATGACCCAGGAGAGGAACATGCCCAGAGTAACGGCCCCTAAGAACATGATGAACAGGATCACATCAACACTCAGACAATCCGAGTCCGGACCCGAACAGTCCGTGTTGTTATCTCCAGCCGCTACCCCCGGTATTAGCAGAACACACCACCATACTAAGCGTTCGTAGCGACCCCTCCATTCGCCCCTGTACTTGATGTGGCCTCTTCCTTCGTCTTCTCTTTCTTCTCTTCTTTTGGCTTCTTCTCCTCCTTCTTCTTGTCCGCACCCTTTTTCTTGGCAGCGGGGGCGCCTATCTGAGAGCATTTGATAATGAACTGAAGGACGACGTATGAAACTACCAGCCCCCCAATAAACGCAGCTGCAACTACTAGGAAGTAGGCCTGGTTGTCCGGACAGTCTATAAGGTTCTCGTCTTTCTGTCTGTTTGGGTCTGTGTAGCTGATGTTATTACACTCTTTCCCCTTTTCTTTTTCTTCTTCTGATCTTACAGCAGTGAGGCACCAACCTAGAATTGTATTCGTTAAACTTAATGTTTGGAGTATCTACCTCCTTCTACAGTGGTGTTACAGTGTGTGTGATAGTGTACTGTTAAAGTGTTTTAGTGCGTGGTTAGTGGTTACATGCAGTTCTTTAGCTAGGCCACACCACACTGCAGTGCACTCCATCACCTGAGGTAGTACAGGGAGTACTTAGTGACCGGGACAATGTAGCATAAGGAGTGATTTAACACGCTCACACAGGCTGACTTTCAGCTCCACCGCCATCTGCTTAGGTGATGGTAGAAGTTATTTTCAGCTGCAGAATAAGCGGTGTCCCGCCTAGTTATTGCTTAAACTAGCTCTTTCCTAGTTTCCACCGGAAGCGCCATATAGAGAATTTCCTTTGATAGCTGTCACGTGACAGTCACGAGATATCGATTGAGCGCGTTTACTGGTTGGATATATAGCGCGTGATATTGAGCTATTATGCAGAGCCGATTACGCACCATATAGGGCGTAATTACTAGCTGCATCTAGCACGTGATATTTGCACAGCTAATTACACAGCCATATAAGGCGTAATTAGGAGCTCGGAGTTGCAGGGGAGTTGTAATAGCGTGAAATTGGGTGGTAAATCGTTGATTAGGGGTACATACAAGTAAATGTTTCGTGAACTATGTTGGTATAAAGCCAACTTTGGTTTTAGAATAGTGTGTGAGGGCGCGTACAGATGGAAGTGCACTGATTTGTTGTTCAAATGGTTAGAATAAAGATTTGTCCGAACCGGCTGAAATCGTTGTTACGTTGAAAACTGTCTCGATTACCTTGTTACCTAGCTAGTAACTTGGTATGAAGAGAGAGTGCAAACCAGACGAAAGTAAGACGAAGTCTCGGGGATCGGGGATGCAGCCTACAATGGGCATGAATATATAGAGGGCCCTAGGTTGCTCCCCAGATCGGCAGTCCAATAACACATTTTCTGAAAATTTCTAATTTTCAAACTTTTCATCAGTCCTACGCCACTGGGGAATGATAGAAAGATGCGAGCAAAATTACGAATGCTGAAATGCACAGCTTTAATATCACTTCCTTTCAGTATAGTCTCACAACGACAGAGATAGCACAGTTCATGATACAACCAAACAGTCAGGTACCCATATTAATTTATAATTTTATCTCTAATAATGTTTCGCTCTTTCAAGACTGACAAGGAATCACAATAAATACTTGGAATTTTACCTCAAGAACGTCCCAGTCGCAGAAACTTCCCCTTCGTAAAACTCCACTCTTCAGGGTAGTTTCCAAGTGCTATCCACCTTGACAAGTGAGTACGTTAAAGCAAGGCCTGACCTTCAAGTCAGAGAAAGGGACTACAGGCACGGTGGCTTGAGAATATGTGAAATGTGCAGTATTATAAAGCCAGACAGGTTTCATCACTGTGGCATCTGTAAACGGTATGTTTATACAATTATAAACCAATGTAGTAGTTGTACAGCAATACTAAGGTAATTTTACCTTCACTCAGACATCGAACGCTGTAAGAAGATGACGATCAGACCTCGTTATTCATAAACCAATGATTGAATCCATTCATTGAAGACTATCAACACAAATACCATGATTCGACTTGATAAGAGATATTAATTGCAGATGTGTAATGAGGAAATGATTTCACTTGATAAGAGATATTAATTACAGATGTGTAATGGGACGTGTTCAAACCTGGTTGGTGGTTTTGTTTCATTTTTCCCACTCATTACTTCTGGGCCCCCAGATTGAAATCTGTAACATTTTAAGAAAAACTGAAACTACTGACAAAAACTAGACCCTTTGACTGAGGGCACCCTTGAATCAGAATTTTTGTAACATATTCAGGTCCTGAGATATAGCAGTTTAGTTGGGGGCCCTGGATATTGAATTTTGTAACACATTTCTATGTTACACTTTTTCAATGGGTTTTTAGAGAAGCTTCTTGATAGTTTTTCAAGTTCAGATCAGTTTTTCTAGGTCACAAAGGGTTCCATCAACCATATTCTTGACCAAATTTTGTACTTGGGCCCAAAACATTGAATTCTGTAACATATTTATGTTTTCACTTCCAAGGTCATATCTGGAATATTCAATATTTTTTTGTATTGGTAACATGGTTTTTAGATTCTCATACAAAATTCTGAAGCAATCCTTATTCATATAATTTGATAAAATGGCTGCGGAACTTGAATTATGTAACATTAGAAAGTAAGTGTATAGAGTATGTGCCCTAGTGTGAGGGGTGTTAGGTAAGCTATATTATAGTTTTTGAAGTTCAGACCAGTTTTTCCAGGTCACAAAGGATTCCATCAACCATATTCTTGACCAAATTTTGTACTTGGGCCCAAAACATTGAATTCTGTAACATATTTATGTTTTGACTACAAAGCTCATATATTTGGAATTTTCAATATATTCTTGTACTGGTAACATGGTTTTTAGATTCTCATACAGAATTGTAAAGCAATCCTTATTCGTATATTTTGATAAAATGGCTGCGGAACTTGAATAATGTAACATTAGAAAGTAAATGTATAGAGTATTATAGTATATAGTATGTATCCTAGTGTGAGGGTTGTTAGGCAAGCTATATTATAGTTTTTGTAGTTCAGACCAGTTTGCCTAGGTCATAAGGGTTCCATCAACCATATTATTGACCATATTTTGTACTTGGGCCCAAAACATTGAATTTTGTAAGTCCACATATGGACATGGAACTCTGCCATTTCAGGGGATAAACTCGTGACCTGGCATTTTATTGTTACAAATTTCAATATATAGGGCCCAATTTCTATTTTCTATACAATTTAATATATAAACTAAAAGTTTTCAAATATCCAACCTTCAATCTCATTAGCTATATTCATTTGATTAAATTTACCGCGTTCTGTCGCAGATTGTCAATTTAAATTACATATACAATTACATTTAAATTGTTACAAAATTCAATAATTTGGTCCCAATTATCATTTTTTAAATTTGTTAAGTTGTTTCACGTCTTAATTTTAATGCATCAACCAACTTAAAACCAATACTAGATCAAACAACTCTGTATAACATACTCATTTGTAACCATGTTACGTTATTCAAAGAAATGGGCCTTTTATTGATTATGAACCATATACCAAGATTGTGGTAATGCCTTTATACAAGAATTGCTGCACTAATAACCTGGTTTGAGAGTTAAATACATATCCTAAACTAGCTGTGGTTGCAATAAACTATAAAGATAGATTGATGAAAACAAGATGTTACAAAATGTCCATTTTGGGCCTTTTTATGAAATCAAAAGTGGGCCTTTTTTCATTCCACAGCTAAGCAAATACCTAAATTACATTTTTGTGGAGCAAGAATCTTTAAAATTTAATAATTGGCTGAGCCATTGAAAAGTGTAACCAAATGTTACATTTTTCAACATAACTGGGCCATTTTACAATATTATTCATAGCCGATGACCTGAGACTATTTGTTATCACAATTATAATCATCTCTGAAAGTTTCAAGACCATCGAGTAATTATTAATGGAGTTATTGTAAAAATGAGAAAATCGCCCATTTCGGCAGTGAAACAAAACCACCAACCAGGTTTGAACATGTCCAATGAGGAAATGATTCCACTTGATAAGAGATATTAATTACAGATGTGTAATGAAGATGGACCACCACTGTCACTGGGTGAACAACTGTATCCACGAGGGTAACCACAAGTACTTCATACAGTGCATTGCGCTGGGTGTAATGATATCTCTTGTTACCATTATACACTACTCAATAAACATGAGCTGCTCGAGTTGTAAGGTAGGTTATTATTTATTAATATTAATTAATTAAGTAATTATTTAATTAATTAATTGGGGCTGTTGGCGGGTATACGGACAGCGGGGGTTCTCGCCAAACTCTTGCTGACGTTATGTTTGAATTTTAATGGCGTTTCGGGGGCGTTTCAAAAATTGTTAATTGTTAAAATTAACTCATCACGTTAACAATTGAACGATTGATTTGATTGAAACGAATGTAAGACTTCAAACATTACCAGATAATACCAGACCTTTCCGATAAAGACTACACAGTCTGTCTGTTACTGTACATGTCTACGGGACTGTCTACCTTAATAGCTTTGTTGGTTACATTTTTAACTCTGGATCATTGCACCAACATGTTCCGAGGACAGACTAGTTATGGTAAGTGTAAAGGGGCCGACATGTCATCCCCCCCCCCCCCCCCCCCCCCCCCCCCCCCCCCCGTTGTACCGGGCATGATACTTGATATAACATTAATAGAAGTGTAAAGGTCACATCAAGATTTGTCTTCACTAGAACACCCTACATCACTTGTCTAGATATACTAGCACCCTAAATAAACTTTCAATCAGCTGATAAAACACCCACCCCCTTCAGAACGAGTATACGAGCGGGACCATTACAACAGAGGTTGGAAGAAGAACTTCATGGAGATAATGGGACAGGGTGCGTGTGAGTGGTTCTGTCCTGTTGCTCCGACTAAACTCTCTCCTGAGCAGGAGCCTCTCATCATCACTGTTGTTGAGCCCTCCTCCGCAGCCTGGTTTGTCTATTCCTGTGTTAATTTGCTCATGTTTCCACTGGAAAATGTAAAGTGTTGCTTTGAAATGTGAGCATTATCCACGGACTAGATATTTTATTTTGATAGTCATGATAAAACTTGTATAGTCCCGCAAATTGTTCCATTACTCCTTCCCCTTCAGGTTAGAAACAACAAACAACAGAGCGTACACCCAGTACGAGATAGAGGACGAGACTACGTCCTCCCGCCACAGTCGACAAAGTACCAGTAGTCAGGGGAGAAGCAATGAGCGGTCACGTGACGTCAGTCTGGACGAGTTCGCGGACGACACTCTGAGTCTCCAGCAGGGACAGGTGGGGCAGAGTAACAGTGTAGTTACCATGGTAACAGAGGGGCACAGGGACTCTTCAATGGTCACCAGAGTGCGGACACCTAGTACCATTGAGAGTACAAAGTGAGGGTGAAGTTATTTAGAAAGTTAATTATTGGCTTGTGATCGAAACTGCTCATACGTGAAAGCTAGGTTATTATCAGACTTTAAAGTCAGTTTCTTTCCTCGAAGGTGAAACTGTTCACGTGAAACAACAAAACCACGTTTCAAATGATCTGGAATAATTTTTATTTGTGTTTGCTGAATAGTATAGCACTGCTGATAGTCTGTTTTGTATACAACAAGCATTCCCAAACTTTCTTCGAAAGTGCACTCCTAGCAGCCGTCCAACTGATTTTGTTGACACAGAGAAGCTTGACGATGTCTCTCTTCTCGTTTGATAGGGCAAATTTGAAATTTTTCGAAGAAAATTTCAAAATATTGCAAAATTGTGAAAAATTGAAAATGGGTTTTGACACATTTTTGCAAGAAATAACTAACATATAAGACCTAACAAGCATTCCCAAACCGATTTCATTTGATTTGCTCCTTCATAAAATAGAAAAATTATAATTTCGAATTTGCACACGAGACTTGAAGTTGAAACACCCTGTAGAGCGCGCTGATTTGAGCGGGGTTTGATTTGGTTTGACACACAAGAACGTTTGTCTTATATTGAAAGACAGTGACATTTTCTACTGGTATGTTTGATATATCGAGTTTTATTTGGTTTTAAATGATGTGTTTTTAATAGTGTTATTTTATTAAAGATTAAAGAAATGTGTAAGAATTATCAGATTGTAAGTTTAAAGTGGTTATCAGCTCCTTTAAACTACCTAATATAGATGATATGAGTAATTAATCTGTGATCTATCATCTTGTAAGAAATGATTAACATCATTTCTGTAAAAATATAGTGTACTGATATATTAAACTTTGTTTGACGAGTTTAGTAATTTGTTGACTTCTGTTTGTGGAGTATGGACAGTAATAACGTGCCCGACTGCCCGTAAAAGATTGGTCGATATCTCAGGACTTTTCTTGAACTTTAGTTGACTTTCAGGAAGAATTCAGCCTTTCGTTGCTGGGAAAATTTGATTTTTTTACTGTATAATTATATTTTTGATTGTCTTGTATGATTTTTATTGCAATATTTTCAGAATATACTCGGGTGTTTTATTTCAATATGTGAGTGTTGGAACCACAGCAATGCACATCTGCTACACAAATTAAAGCAAAATATATAACAACGAATATTTAAATAAAAGACGATCATTCAATAATTTTGGATAACTTAAATCAAATACATTCGAGCACTGGTTAGTGATCGACTAAGTTAACAGTCATCGATATTCGATACTCATCGAATTTAAAAAAGTAAAAGCAACTGCTGTCTTAGGGGTCGTTCACATATCACGTGATCAGCCGAGGGGGGAGGGGGGTTTCCAAATGATTACGCTAGTATATTTTGATACAATATTTATGTGTAAAACTGATTACGGAGTCGAGGGGGGCCGGGGGGGGGTAAAAATTGACCAAAAAGTGATTACGTAATATGTGAACGACCCCTTATGAGTTATGACACTTTCAGTGTCTGATATTCATTCTTATGGCCGGAAAAATGGGTTGTATAATGTATAAATACAATGTAGTTGTATAATGTATAAATACAATGTAGTTGGCAGGCTCACCGAATAGTCGTTTAGTGTGTTTGTGGCCTGCTGAGTCGGCCTTGTCAGAACTCTACTGAGCTCTAGTTTCAAGTCACTTCTGATGTTGTGGTATACTGAGCTCTCTCAGTGTCTTCCTCCCTTTACTGATCACCTCTCACACTGAGCTCTCCACATTCTCGGTGCCTCATGATGATCCACTCTCTCAATGTCTTCCTCCCTTTACTGACCACCTCTTACTCACTTCTTCCTGCTGACCCTCATGATGATCCACAGAATGACCCAGGAGAGGAACATGCCCAGAGTAACGGCCCCTAAGAACATGATGAACAGGATCACATCAACACTCAGACAATCCGAGTCCGGACCCGAACAGTCCGTGTTGTTATCTCCAGCCGCTACCCCATTTATTAGCAGAACACACCACCATACTAAGCGTTCGTAGCGACCCCTCCATTCGCTCCTGTACTTGATGTGGCCTCCTCCTTCGTCTTCTCTTTCTTCTCTTCTTTTGGCTTCTTCTCCTCCTTCTTCTTGTCCGCACCCTTTTTCTTGGCAGCGGGGGCGCCTATCTGAGAGCATTTGATAATGAACTGCAGGACGACGTATGAAACTACCAGCCCCCCAATAAACGCAGCTGCAACTACTAGGAAGTAGGCCTGGTTGTCCGGACAGTCTATAAGGTTCTCGTCTTTTTGTCTGTTCGGGTCAGTGTAGCTGATGTTATTACACTCTTTCCCCTTCTCTTTTTCTTCTTCTGATCTTACAGCAGTGAGGCACCAACCTAGAATAGTATTCGTTAAACTTAATGTTTGGAGTACTTCTACAGTGGTGTTACAGTGTGTGTAATAGTGTACTGTTAAAGTGTTTTAGTGCGTGACACGTGTGTTTTATTGCGTGACACGTGTGTTTTAGTGCGTGGTTAGTGGTTACTTGCAGTTCTTTAGCTAGGCCACACCCCACTGCAGTGCACCCCATCACCTGAGGTATCAGACTTGGTAAGTCAGTACAGGGAGTACTTAGTGACCGGGACAATGTAGCATAAGGAGTGATTTAACACGCTCACACAGGCTGACTTTCAGCTCCACCGCCATCTGCTTAGATGATGGTAGAAGTTATTTTCAGCTTCAGAATAAGCGGTGTCCCGCCTAGTTATTGCTTAAACTAGCTCTTTCCTAGTTTCCACCGGAAGCGCCATATAGAGAATTTCCTTTGATAGCTGTCACGTGACAGTCACGAGATATCGAATGAGCGCGTTTACTGGTTGGATATATAGCGCGTGATATTGAGCTATTATGCAGAGCCGATTACGCACCATATAGGGCGTAATTACTAGCTGCATCTAGCACGTGATATTTGCACAGCTAATTACACAGCCATATAAGGCGTAATTAAGAGCTCGGAGTTGCAGGGGAGTTGTAATAGCGTGAAATTGGGTGGTAACTCGTTGATTAGGGGTACATACAAGTAAATGTTTCGTGAACTATCTTGGTATAAAGGCAACTTTGGATTTAGAACAGTGTGTGAGGGCGCGTACAGATGGAAGTGCACTGATTTGTTGTTCAAATGGTAGAATAAAGATTTGTCCGAACCGGCTGAAATCGTTGTTACGTTGAAAACTGTCTCGATTACCTTGTTACCTAGCTAGTAACTTGGTATGAAGAGAGAGTGCAAACCAGACGAAAGTAAGACGAAGTCTCGGGGATCGGGGATGCAGCCTACAATGGGCATGAATATATAGAGGGCCCTAGGTTGCTCCCCAGATCGGCAGTCCAATAACACATTTTCTGAAAATTTCTAATTTTCAACTTTTCATCAGTCCTACGCCACTGGGGAATGATAGAAAGATGCGAGCATGCTGAATCATCTATTTCGACTACATTGAAAATAAAACCCCTACTAAATAGTGGGTATAATTTTTTAGTTCACATAGGCAAATCTTTATAATATACAGATATTTTTATTTAAATTGGTTTTTAATAGAGTAACATGTGATGAATATTTAAGCGTTTTGTTGTTTTTAAGTTGTCTTTAAAGTGATTTGATTATTATTGCCCCGATGAAATGACTTTCGTTTTATTTTTGATCAGTTTGCTTTTAAAGTGATTTATATGATTCGCCCTCCACCCTTTTAAGAAAGTACCGCCCTCGTGTCCGGTTCCCATGAGAATATATAGAAAGAAATTCTTCCTTGGATTCCACATTGATCAGGTCCTGGAACTGATCATCATTTCTCGCTCATTCTCCAATGAAGACAGCAGGTTCCAATTTAGGCTCATGTTTCCACTGGAAAATGTAAACTGTTGCTTTGAAATGTAAGCATCATCCGCGGACTAGATATTTTATTTTGATAGTCATGAAACTTGTACAGTCCCGCAAATTGTTTCATTACTCCTTCCCCTTCAGGTTAGAAACAACAAACAACAGAGCGTACACCCAGTACGAGATAGAGGACGAGACAACGTCCTCCCGTCACAGTCGACAAAGTACCAGTAGTCAGGAGAGAAGCAATGAGCGGTCACGTGACGTCAGTCTGGACGAGTTCGCGGACGACACTCTGAGTCTTCAACAGGGACAGGTGGGGCAGAGTAACAGTGTAGTTACCATGGTAACAGAGGGGCACAGGGACTCTTCAATGGTCACCAGAGTGCGGACACCTAGTACCATTGAGAGTACAAAGTGAGGGTGAAGTTATTTAGAAAGTTAATTATTGGCTTGTGATCGAAACTGCTCATACGTGAAAGCTAGGTTATTATCAGACTTTAAAGGTGAAACTCACTGAAACTGTTCACGTGAAACAACAAAACCACTTTTCAAATGATCTGGAATAATTTTTATTTGTGTTTGCTGAATAGTATAGCACTGCTGATAGTCTGTTTTGTATGTTTTGTTTTGAAACCCCACGGTGGAGGTTGGCGTGTGCCGCAATTTATTGATCAATGGTTATTACATAAATGAAATTATAGAAGTCACACTAAAATATAATAATGTAAAATAAATATATTAAAATAAATGCCCTACTAAAAGTACTATATAACTAACGGTCTGCAAAACTGGTTGAAGTCGCAATTTGTAAACATGCTAATTACTATTTAATAGTAATAGATAAAAAGTTTTGCGCGGCAGATGTAAATTCGGCATTGCATAATGGCAGTGAAATTAAAATGATATGTTGTTGATAACAGATCATTTGACGCGAGTGATCTTTCTTTACGCGTTGTCGCTTACTAACTCGGTGCTGTAGTCTATTTGCGAGCGCCCTTCTCTTTGAGACTTTCTTAGCCCAGGTATACTATAAAGTAAGAAATTTGGCCAATTTTCATCGTCTCCTGAGCTTTGCAGCTTGAGGAGTTCGCGCTTAGCTGAATTTTTAAAGATTTCAATTGAAAAGGTAGAACTTGGAATAGTTATATCCTTACTTTGTTTTGTAATAGAGAGCATGGGTCCTTTGAAGAAAAGAGTATTTCTAAATGTTGGGCCGTTGTAAGTTGTGAACCAAGAAAGGTTATGTTCGAATGTGGAATTATAGGTGGGAATATCGTGAGGGAAAAGTTCTTTGATGGATTTAGGGAGAAGGCTTGGCATGTTCCTTACTTTGTGTAGTAGAATAAGAGCGTTTTTTACAATGACGCTATGGACTGTTAGGATATTATGCAATCTAAACGCACTTTTTGTGTGCTCCGGGGGATTGCCGTCTTTATATCTATAATTTACATATCCTGACATAACAGCTCTAATTCCCTGCTTTTGCTTGGTGAACAGAGATTCAATGTGACATTTTGAGGCAAATCCCCACACTAAAGAACAGAAGTTTAGATGGGATTGGATAAGGCTTTGGAAAATGTTTAGGCGGGCTTTGATAGGTAGAAGGTGCTTTAGCTTATACATAACTCCGAGGTAGCGACCCATCTTTATTCTAACGGCCGTAATGTGTTTTTGCCAAGTGAGCTTTTCGTCTAGGATCACTCCTAAAAATCTTGCTTCAGTCTTACGTTCGATTACAGTGTTGTCAATGGACAAATTAAAGCCGCTGAAGTCGATTCTTTTTCTAGTGAAAATCATGTAACACGTCTTTTTTACATTTAAAGATAGCCCATTAACACCTACCCAATCTACAAGACGTGAAATTAGCTGATTAGCTTTTAATTGTATTTCTTCTAGGGTGGTTCCACTAATTAATATGTTTGCGTCGTCGGCATAAAGGATGAACTTTGCAAAATCACTAATTCCAGGTAGGTCGTTTATATAAATTACAAATAAGAGAGGTCCTAAAATGCTACCCTGAGGTACGCCGTAAACTATGGGCATGCTAGAAGAGCAAGTTCCGTTTAAAGTTACGTATTGAGATCGATTACAAAGGTAAGATCTAAACCATTCGTGCGCGACTCCCCTGATCCCATAATGGTCAAGCTTCTTAAGCAAGGTCTCATGATCAAGCACGTCAAAGGCTTTACTGTAATCGAGCAGGAGCAGTAGGGAAATTTGTTTCTTATTCAGAGAGTGTAGTATGGAATTTTGGGCATTGAGCAGTGCATGTTCGCACGATCTTCCTGGCCGAAATCCGTATTGATTTTCGAAAAGAGAATCGTTCTTATCTAAAAATTCTAAAACACGAGCATGCATAAGTTTCTCATAAATTTTCGAGAATGATCCCAAAAGAGAGATCGGCCTATAATTAGCTACTTCCAATTTTGAACCACCTTTGTGGATAGGAACGACTTTCGCAGTTTTTAGAGCATTTGGGAAGGTACCACTGGAGAACGAACAGTTAATGACATTAGCTAGTGCCCTGGTAAAGTTTTCGCAGCTGTTTGCAATTTTCAATGGCTCAATTTTACAATCGAGTGTGGACTTGTTCTTAAGCCCTGATATTATCTTTTGGACTTCACCGTGTGATGTAGGCTTAAGAAACATCGAGTTACTACACGAAGCCTTAAGAAAATGCTTGAAACCACCTGGGTCAAAGGTTCGACGGGCAGCGATTTGCCTCTTGATACTGGCTGCAATACCGGAGAAGTAGCCGTTAAATTTCTCAGCGACTGCCAGATCGGAGCTTATAATCGTGCCATCGTCGTCCTTCAGACGGGTGTGTCCGAACTTTTTTCTGTTACGGTTCAGGAGGCCATTGATAATTTTCCATTGACTTTTAGAGCAGTTTTGGTGTTTGTCAAACATTTTTTTATAGTACTTTTCTTTGGCTAGATTCACATGTTTGTGACAAAACTTTTTCATTTTATCATACGCGTCGCAGTTTTTTTGTGATGGATTTATAGTTTTTTCAAAAAAAAGTAACTTCTTGCGGTTGCATGCCGCCTCAAGCCAGGGTAAGATCCAAGGCTTTGGGTCAGCTCTTTCGAATTTTCTTCTCGAACTGTCGCGCTTCAGGGGGTATGCAGTATTGTAGTGTTTCATGTACGTTTGATAGATGGAATTGTATTGTTCATCAGCGCACGTTGAGGAGGTAGCATCATCCCAGGTCTCACTTACAATAAGCTCTTTGAATTTAGCATGATTAGCTTCGTTAAATACACGGGCCTCTAATTTCAAGCTAGTGTTGTTGTTCTTTACACGTTGACTACGGAATCGCTCGTTCAAACTAGGTGTGGCTCCTAAACTAATGGTCGTGCTAACCGCGAGATGATCTGACATATCCAACGTCACGACATTACAACTAATAACGTTTGTCACGTGATTAGTATACACGTGATCAATAAGCGTTGCACTGTGGTCAGTTACCCTGGTAGGCTTGGAGACAGTCTGGGCAAACCCATATTTTTCTAGTAAGCTTATAAGATCCTGGCTGTAAGCGTCGGTATCGTATTTTATAAGATCAATATTTGCATCACCCAGGAAGACTATCTGCTTTCTGGAGTGTCTATCAAGACCCCTGAGCACGTTTTCAAACTTTTCAAGGAATTTTTTAGGGCTTGTGGATGGCGAGCGGTAGAAATTTACGATGATTTTTGTCTTATTTCCGTTTTTAAAATTGTTGATTTTAAGCAATTGAAATTCTCCGCAAGTAACTTCTTCTGGACTCAGATTGAGTTCGAGTTCCTGTATTTTATCGTAATCACAAACGCGTTTGTTAACATAGAGCGCAAGACCACCTCCTTTTCCAGATTTACGTGCAGGTTCTTTGATAAAGGGCTCGTAAAACTGTTCGATTTCAATGTCGTTCAGACCATTAGGAATATTAGAAATTTTACAGTTGGTTTCATTGAGGCAGATGAGGTCAAATTTGGAGAATGTTTCTATTTCTTCACTAAAATTTGAGATATTCTTCACGAGTGATCTAACGTTTAATGAAAGTATCTTAAATTCGCGATTGCTAGGGGTCTTGATATTATCAGGGTGTTGGTACTTACAGCTAACCAATATCTCCGATATACAATTGTTGAGATCGATTTCGCTGGAATCTATTTCATCAGTAAGTTCGCCTATTTGATTCAGTACGTGAGAACGAATATAGGGGTTAAAAGTGGGGGTTATTGTATTGTAATTATCATTAAGTTCGTAGGAAGTTACTCTATAGCCAGGTATTAGGTTTAGACAGCATGTAATACAACCAAGATAATCTTTGAGGCATTTTTTATGAACTGGTTTGTCACATACAGGACAAATGAAAACATTTCTAGGAGCATAAGACCACCCGAAGCAACTTGAGCATTGTGATTTGAAACTAGGTTCAACCATTGTTCAAGATGTGTAAATACCAGATATCTGTGAATAATTAAGTAAGATATTAAATAGATAAGAGTGTATAGTATGGTGTATAGAATAGCTTGTACAGTCTAAGAATATGTATAAAAAGCTAATGTGTGTGCGTGTGAATGAATGAGGAATAAACTGTGTGCTGAGAAAGCGTAAAGATGAAAAAGAAAACTTGTTAGACCTACCTATCAAGAACTATACAGCTCTGTGTGTAGATAGAATCGTAACGTAGTCTACAATATTACAATATTACGATAGCGGTACTGATTTCAGAACTATTCTAAAGTGTTTAAAAAACTCGGGCTAGAATTCTAGTAACTTACGATAAGCTGATAAGAGCACGGGCATGACTATATATTTTCATGCGAGGGTTTTCATTATAACCATAAGATGTAAGCTATAATCCCTTAAAGATTTTGTAAAAATTTTGTGAAAATTTTGGCGCGGCAAGTATAAGTAGTAGGCTGGGGTACGGCTTTGTGAGTATACAACAAGCATTCCCAAACTTTCTTCGAAAGTGCACTCCTAGCAGCCGTCCAACTGATATTGTTAACACAGAGAAGCTTGACGATGTCTCTCTTCTCGTTTGATAGGGCAAATTTGAAATTTTTCGAAGAAAATTTCAAAATATTGCAAAATTGTGAAAAATTGAAAATGGGCTTTGACACATTTTTGCAAGAAATAACTAACATATAAGACCTAACAAGCATTCTCAAAACCGATTTCATTTGATTTGCTCCTTCATAAAATAGAAAAATTATAATTTCAAATTTGCACACGAGACTCGAAGTTGAAACACCCTGTAGAGCGCGCTGATTTGAGCGGGGTTTGATTTGGTTTGACACACAAGAACGTTTGTCTTATATTGAAAGACAGTGACATTTTCTACTGGTATGTTTGATATATCGAGTTTTATTTGGTTTTAAATGATGTGTTTTTAAGAGTGTTATTTTATTAAAGATTAAAGAAATGTGTAAGAATTATCAGATTGTAAGTTTTAATCAGCTCCTTTAAACTGTAGATGATATGAGTAATTAATCTGTTATCTTTCATCTTGTAAGAAATGATTAACATCATTTCTGTAAAAATATAGTGTACTGATATATTAAACTTTGTTTGACGAGTTTAGTAATTTTTTGACTTCTGTTTGTGGAGTATGGACAGTAATAACGTGCCCGTAAAAGATTGGTCGATATCTCAGGACTTTTACTTGAACTTTTGTTGACTTTCAGGAAGAATTCAGTCTTTCGTTGCTGGGAAAATTTGATTTTTTTACTGTAGAATTATATTTTTGATTGTCTTGTATGATTTTTATTGCAATATTTTCAGAATATACTCGGGTGTTTTATTTCAATATATAAGTGTTGGAACTTCTTTAAAAAAATTCTATCTCCACAGCAATTCACATCTGCTACACAAATTAAAGCAAAATATATAACAACGAATATTTAAATAAAAGACGATCATTCAATAATTTTGGATAACTTAAATCAAATACATTCGAGCACTGGTTAGTGATCGACTAAGTTAACAGTCATCGATATTCGATACTCATGGAATTTAAAAAAGTAAAAGCAACTGCTGTCTTTGGGGTCGTTCGCATATATCACGTGATCAGCCGAGGGGGGAGGGGGGTTTCCAAATGATTACGCTAGTATATTTTGATACAATATTTATGTGTAAAACTGATTACGGAGTCGAGGGGGGCCGGGGGGGGTAAAAAATTGACCAAAAAGTGATTACGTAATATGTGAACGACCCCTTATCAGTTATGTCACTATTAGTGCCTGATATTCATTCTTATGGCCGGAAAAATGGGTTGTATAATGTATACATACAATGTAATTGTATAATGTATAAATACAATGTAGTTGGCAGGCTCACCGAATAGTCGTTTAGTGTGTTTGTGGCTTGCTGAGTCGGCCTTGTCAGAACTCTACTGAGCTCTCGTTTCAAGTAACCTCTGATGTTGTGGTATACTTCACTTTCTCGGTGTCTTCCTCCCTTTACTGACTCTTACTCACTTCTTCCTGCTGACCCTCATGATGATCCACAGAATGACCCAGGAGAGGAACATGCCCAGAGTAACTGCCCCTAAGAACATGATGAAGAGGATCACATCAACACTCAGACAATCCGAGTCCGGACCCGAACAGTCCGTGTTGTTATCTCCAGCCGCTACCCCCGGTATTAGCAGAACACACCACCATACTAAGCATTTGTAGCGACCCCTCCATTCGCTCCTGTACTTGAGGTGGCCTCCTCCTTCGTCTTCTCCTTCTTCTCTTCTTTTGGCTTCTTCTCCTCCTTCTTCTTGTCCGCACCCTTTTTCTTGGCAGCGGGGGCGCCTATCTGAGAGCATTTGATAATGAACTGCAGGACGACGTATGAAACTACCAGCCCCCCAATAAACGCAGCTGCAACTACTAGGAAGTAGGCCTGGTTGTCCGGACAGTCTATAAGGTTCTCGTCTTTTTGTCTGTTCGGGTCAGTGTAACTGATGTTATTACACTCTTTCCCCTTCTCTTTTTCTTCTTCTGATCTTACAGCAGTGAGGCACCAACCTAGAATAGTATTTGTTAAACTTAAGGTCTGGAGTATCTACTTCCTTCTACAGTGGTGTTACAGTGTGTGTAATAGTGTACTGTTAAAGTGTTTTAGTGCGTGACACGTGTGTTTTAGTGCGTGACACGTGTGTTTTAGTGCGTGACACGTGTGTTTTAGTGCGTGACACGTGTGTTTTAGTGCGTGACACGTGTGTTTTAGTGCGTGACACGTGTGTTTTAGTGCGTGACACGTGTGTTTTAGTGCGTGACACGTGTGTTTTAGTGCGTGACACGTGTGTTTTAGTGAGTGACACGTGTGTTTTAGTGCGTGACACGTGTGTTTTAGTGCGTGACACGTGTGTTTAAGTGCGTGACACGTGTGTTTTAGTGCGTGACACGTGTGTTTTAGTGCGTGACACGTGTGTTTTAGTGCGTGACACGTGTGTTTTAGTGCGTGACACGTGTGTTTTAGTGCGTGACACGTGTGTTTTAGTGCGTGACACGTGTGTTTTAGTGCGTGACACGTGTGTTTTAGTGCGTGACACGTGTGTTTAAGTGCGTGACACGTTTGTTTTAGTGCGTGACACGTGTGTTTAAGTGCGTGACACGTGTGTTTAAGTGCGTGACACGTGTGTTTTAGTGCGTGACACGTGTGTTTTAGTGCGTGATAAGTTTTATGCTTTTGTATTCACACCCTTTAGTTAGGATACATCGATAAAAATGAAAGTACAGAATAACAAGGTACACTGTCACTAACAGTTAAATCGGTCTGTAGACTCTAAATTAAAAACTATACATAGTAAATTCTAAACTGTAAATTGTAAACTGTAAATTCTACACTGCAATAACTGTAAAATGTACACTTTGAGCTGTACTCTAATCTGTACTGCATATTAACTACATAATATGTAGTTTACAAAGTGAACGTAAGTCGTATATCTCTTAGCCGTCCATAAACTATCATGTTGCTTTCTAACACATCCAACATAATACTAACTTATTAAACGAGTGATTTTCAAAGTAGCCCAATAAAACAAAAGCTACCGAAACTAAACGAAGTGTGAAGCTACAAATGTATAAAGTGAAGGGAAGCAGGGGGTAGTCACGTGATGCCCATATAAGGTAATCAATCTGCGTAACTAATTGAAAATCTCATGATCAGCTTGGCTACTAGGAGAGGCAGACCAACAAGCCAGGATTGCAGTTTTGTTAGTTAGCGGTGGCAGTATTATTAGTAGTATTATTAGTAGTAGTAGTAGTAGCTGGTTTCTATATACTGTAGGGGAAGTGGAGATGAGATTTGTTCAGCTTTTGTTTGGCCGTTTCCTGATCATCATGAGTACTTATTTGTTAGCCTTTTGAGGTTACATCAACATATTATTTGGAAGGACAGGAATCGTATAATTTAGCTGGTACCAGTGGGACTCCTTATACGGTCTAATCTATATATACTCTAATGGCTATGATATAAAAATTCACTAACTTAAGTAAAGGTATTTGAGCACTTAATGGTTTCTGCTGACAGTATTTTTATTGAACTTTAAAGGAAACAGATTTGCTTAATTCAGGTATTTAAGCTGGTTACTCAAACTAGGCTTTCTTAATTCAGCTATTTAAGCTGGTTACTCAAACTAGGCTTTCTTAATTCAGCTATTTAAGCTGGTTACTCAAACTAGGCTTTCTTAATTCAGCTATTTAAGCTGGTTACTCAAACTAGGCTTTCTTAATTCAGCTATTTAAGCTGGTTACTCAAACTAGGCTTTCTTAATTCAGCTATTTAAGCTGGTTACTCAAACTAGGCTTTCTGCAAAGAGGCCAGACATTTTTCAAGCTGGGAATTTATTGCTTTAGCTCCAAGAGTGGACTATAATTATCATAATGAGCAAGATTAATCGCATAAATCGCAAACAAGAGGGATCGCTATAATGTCAGAAGCAGCAAGTGCACTCAGTGCACATTGTGCAGAGTGCATACACCACATGTGCACGGTGTCCGTGGTGTCTGCACATGCTGCTGCTTCTGTTCGTATTCTCGGTGATTTATAGATACACACGGACGGGAAAGTAAACAAGTGAGCAGTGGTGTTACGTTGCCTGTTGGCACTGCAAGTGAGGGGGGTGCTCACAAGGTACAACAAAAGATATGCCGGCCTCAAAAGGGAACCACAAGTAAAAACCTATACTCCTATAAGAACAAATAAAAGGTATACCAACAGAGCATGTGGATCTAACAAGCAAGTAAGAGTTATTAGAGGTACCCGAGTTGTCCGTGTACCACGACAACCGCTCATTATACCGAACTAGAGGCTGTATGTGACTAAGAACTATTGCACAAGTAGGGACCTGCTCGCCACATTACTCTCTCTCTCTCTCTTCATGTCATAACACTATTATATATCTACCTTAGAGGCTGTAATCAGGTAAATCAGGGTACTTGTAGTGGTGTGGTAAGCAGTATAATGAGTACCTCCCCCACTTGTAGCGGTGTGGTAAGCAGTATAATGAGTACCTCCCCCCACTTGTAGCAGTGTGGTAAGCAGTATAATGAGTACCTCCCCCACTTGTAGCGGTGTGGTAAGCAGTATAATGAGTACCTCCCCCCACTTGTAGCAGTGTGGTAAGCAGTATAATGAGAACCTCCCCCACTTGTAGCGGTGTGGTAAGCATTATAATGAGTATCTCCCCCACTTGTAGCGGTGTGGTAAGCAGTATAATGAGTACCTCCCCCACTTGTAGCAGTGTGGTAAGCAGTATAATGAGTACCTCCCCCACTTGTAGCGGTGTGGTAAGCATTATAATGAGTATCTCCCCCACTTGTAGCGGTGTGGTAAGCAGTATAATGAGTACCTCCCCCACTTGTAGTGGTGTGGTAAGCAGTATAATGAGTACCTCCCCCACTTGTAGCGGTGTGGTAAGCAGTATAATGAGTACCTCCCCCACTTGTAGCGGTGTGGTAAGCAGTATAATGAGTACCTCCCCCACTTGTAGCGGTGTGGTAAGCAGTATAATGAGTACCTCCCCCACTTGTAGCGGTGTGGTAAGCAGTATAATGAGTACCTCCCCCACTTGTAGCGGTGTGGTAAGCAGTATAATGAGTACCTCCCCACTTGTAGCGGTGTGGTAAGCAGTATAATGAGTACCTCCCCCACTTGTAGCGGTGTGGTAAGCAGTATAATGAGTACCTCCCCCACTTGTAGCGGTGTGGTAAGCAGTATAATGAGTACCTCCCCCACTTGTAGCGGTGTGGTAAGCAGTATAATGAGTACCTCCCCCACTTGTAGCGGTGTGGTAAGCAGTATAATGAGTACCTCCCCCACTTGTAGCGGTGTGGTAAGCAGTATAATGAGTACCTCCCCCACTTGTAGCGGTGTGGTAAGCAGTATAATGAGTACCTCCCCCACTTGTAGCGGTGTGGTAAGCAGTATAATGAGTACCTCCCCCACTTGTAGCGGTGTGGTAAGCAGTATAATGAGTACCTCCCCCACTTGTAGCGGTGTGGTAAGCAGTATAATGAGTACCTCCCCCACTTGTAGCGGTGTGGTAAGCAGTATAATGAGTACCTCCCCCACTTGTAGCGGTGTGGTAAGCAGTATAATGAGTACCTCCCCCACTTGTAGCGGTGTGGTAAGCAGTATAATGAGTACCTCCCCCACTTGTAGCGGTGTGGTAAGCAGTATAATGAGTACCTCCCCCACTTGTAGCGGTGTGGTAAGCAGTATAATGAGTACCTCCCCCACTTGTAGCGGTGTGGTAAGCAGTATAATGAGTACCTCCCCCACTTGTAGCGGTGTGGTAAGCAGTATAATGAGTACCTCCCCCACTTGTAGCGGTGTGGTAAGCAGTATAATGAGTACCTCCCCCACTTGTAGCGGTGTGGTAAGCAGTATAATGAGTACCTCCCCCACTTGTAGCGGTGTGGTAAGCAGTATAATGAGTACCTCCCCCACTTGTAGCGGTGTGGTAAGCAGTATAATGAGTACCTCCCCCACTTGTAGCGGTGTGGTAAGCAGTATAATGAGTACCTCCCCCACTTGTAGCGGTGTGGTAAGCAGTATAATGAGTACCTCCCCCACTTGTAGCGGTGTGGTAAGCAGTATAATGAGTACCTCCCCCACTTGTAGCGGTGTGGTAAGCAGTATAATGAGTACCTCCCCCACTTGTAGCGGTGTGGTAAGCAGTATAATGAGTACCTCCCCCACTTGTAGCGGTGTGGTAAGCAGTATAATGAGTACCTCCCCCACTTGTAGCGGTGTGGTAAGCAGTATAATGAGTACCTCCCCCACTTGTAGCGGTGTGGTAAGCAGTATAATGAGTACCTCCCCCACTTGTAGCGGTGTGGTAAGCAGTATAATGAGTACCTCCCCCACTTGTAGCGGTGTGGTAAGCAGTATAATGAGTACCTCCCCCACTTGTAGCGGTGTGGTAAGCAGTATAATGAGTACCTCCCCCACTTGTAGCGGTGTGGTAAGCAGTATAATGAGTACCTCCCCCACTTGTAGCGGTGTGGTAAGCAGTATAATGAGTACCTCCCCCACTTGTAGCGGTGTGGTAAGCAGTATAATGAGTACCTCCCCCACTTGTAGCGGTGTGGTAAGCAGTATAATGAGTACCTCCCCCACTTGTAGCGGTGTGGTAAGCAGTATAATGAGTACCTCCCCCACTTGTAGCGGTGTGGTAAGCAGTATAATGAGTACCTCCCCCACTTGTAGCGGTGTGGTAAGCAGTATAATGAGTACCTCCCCCACTTGTAGCGGTGTGGTAAGCAGTATAATGAGTACCTCCCCCACTTGTAGCGGTGTGGTAAGCAGTATAATGAGTACCTCCCCCACTTGTAGCGGTGTGGTAAGCAGTATAATGAGTACCTCCCCCACTTGTAGCGGTGTGGTAAGCAGTATAATGAGTACCTCCCCCACTTGTAGCGGTGTGGTAAGCAGTATAATGAGTACCTCCCCCACTTGTAGCGGTGTGGTAAGCAGTATAATGAGTACCTCCCCCACTTGTAGCGGTGTGGTAAGCAGTATAATGAGTACCTCCCCCACTTGTAGCGGTGTGGTAAGCAGTATAATGAGTACCTCCCCCACTTGTAGCGGTGTGGTAAGCAGTATAATGAGTACCTCCCCCACTTGTAGCGGTGTGGTAAGCAGTATAATGAGTACCTCCCCCACTTGTAGCGGTGTGGTAAGCAGTATAATGAGTACCTCCCCCACTTGTAGCGGTGTGGTAAGCAGTATAATGAGTACCTCCCCCACTTGTAGCGGTGTGGTAAGCAGTATAATGAGTACCTCCCCCACTTGTAGCGGTGTGGTAAGCAGTATAATGAGTACCTCCCCCACTTGTAGCGGTGTGGTAAGCAGTATAATGAGTACCTCCCCCACTTGTAGCGGTGTGGTAAGCAGTATAATGAGTACCTCCCCCACTTGTAGCGGTGTGGTAAGCAGTATAATGAGTACCTCCCCCACTTGTAGCGGTGTGGTAAGAGTATAATGAGTACCTCCCCCACTTGTAGTGGTGTGGTAAGCAGTATAATGAGTACCTCCCCCACTTGTAGCGGTGTGGTAAGCAGTATAATGAGTACCTCCCCCACTTGTAGCGGTGTGGTAAGGAGTATAATGAGTACCTCCCCCACTTGTAGTGGTGTGGTAAGCAGTATAATGAGTACCTCCCCCACTTGTAGCGGTGTGGTAAGGAGTATAATGAGTACCTCCCCCACTTGTAGCGGTGTGGTAAGCAGTATAATGAGTACCTCCCCCACTTGTAGCGGTGTGGTAAGCAGTATAATGAGAACCTCCCCCACTTGTAGCGGTGTGGTAAGCAGTATAATGAGTACCTCCCCCACTTGTAGCGGTGTGGTAAGCAGTATAATGAGTACCTCCCCCACTTGTAGCGGTGTGGTAAGCAGTATAATGAGAACCTCCCCCACTTGTAGTGGTGTGGTAAGCAGTATAATGAGTACCTCCCCCACTTGTAGCGGTGTGGTAAGCAGTATAATGAGTACCTCCCCCACTTGTAGCGGTGTGGTAAGCAGTATAATGTGTACCTCCCCTATCGTTACACACAGCTTCTATACTGTATAACTGTATATATATATTATATATTATGTATATATAACTACAACTGTACCGGTTAATGGTTTAAATTATAGGTCAACCTAGCAATTCTAGTAGTGTAACTATGGTAACTAGCAATGCTTGCGGAGTGCTTGCTTCCTCTTGCCAGTCTGTAATTCTAAAGGATATGTTTTATTTGTTGATAAGAAAAGAATCCTAACGACAGAAGAGAAACGCTGGAAGGCTACTCAGGCAGATAATGTAATCTAACGTGGTGTGATGACGTCACGTGGTGTAATGACGTCACGTGTTGTGATGACGTCACGTGGTGTGATGAATCCTAACGACAGAAGAGAAACGCTGGGAGGCTACTCAGGCAGATAATGTAATGCTGGTTCTAATTATCCCTCGTTTGGTCATGTGTCAATGTGGAGGAATCTTTTGAACATTCTAACCGCGAGTACTATCGTGACGGCGTGACTGTGCTAACTAAAGGAATAAATGATGGACTAAAGAAGCTTAGAATGGTTTTTAGTTTCGTTCACTGAGACTTATATTTTGTCACAAAGCAGTGAACTCAAGCATATAAATGCAACAAAACTTCTACACTCAAGTAAAAAAGCAACCACACTGCACTGCTAGGAGATTGGTGGTGCGGATAAATTTACCATATTCGTGGTAATGAATGCCATATTTACGGTAATTGAAGCCAAATAAAGGAAACAGCGGAACCGATAAATTCAAATTAACGTCGATTACTCCAGTAATGGAGCAGGAATGTGCGTGATTGACCTCGAATAAGTGCTACAAGTATAACGAATCTAACATGAGGCTAGGAGAATAAGTTCCACAAGTATAACGAATCTAACATGAGGCTAGGAGAATAAGTTCCACAAGTATAACGAATCTAACATGAGGCTAGGAGAATAAGTTCCACAAGTATAACGAATCTAACATGAGGCTAGGAGAATAAGTGCTACAAGTATAACGAATCTAACATGAGGCTAGGAGAATAAGTGCTACAAGTATAACGAATCTAACATGAGGCTAGGAGAATAAGTGCTACAAGTATAACGAATCTAACATGAGGCTAGGAGAATAAGTGCTACAAGTATAACGAATCTAACATGAGGCTAGGAGAATAAGTGCTACAAGTATAACGAATCTAACATGAGCCTAGGAGAATAAGTGCTACAAGTATAACGAATCTAACATGAGCCTAGGAGAATAAGTGCTACAAGTATAACGAATCTAACATGAGCCTAGGAGAATAAGTGTTACAAGTATAACGAATCTAACATGAGGCTAGGAGAATAAGTGCTACAAGTATAACGAATCTAACATGAGCCTAGGAGAATAAGTGCTACAAGTATAACGAATCTAACATGAGCCTAGGAGAATAAGTGTTACAAGTATAACGAATCTAACATGAGGCTAGGAGAATAAGTGCTACAAGTATAACGAATCTAACATGAGCCTAGGAGAATAAGTGCTACAAGTATAACGAATCTAACATGAGGCTAGGAGAATAAGTGCTACAAGTATAACGAATCTAACATGAGGCTAGGAGAATAAGTGCTACAAGTATAACGAATCTAACATGAGGCTAGGAGAATAAGTGCTACAAGTATAACGAATCTAACATGAGGCTAGGAGAATAAGTGCTACAAGTATAACGAATCTAACATGAGGCTAGGAGAATAAGTGCTACAAGTATAACGAATCTAACATGAGCCTAGGAGAATAAGTGCTACAAGTATAACGAATCTAACATGAGCCTAGGAGAATAAGTTCCACAAGTATAACGAATCTAACATGAGGCTAGGAGAATAAGTGCTACAAGTATAACGAATCTAACATGAGGCTAGGAGAATAAGTGCTACAAGTATAACGAATCTAACATGAGGCTAGGAGAATAAGTGCTACAAGTATAACGAATCTAACATGAGGCTAGGAGAATAAGTGCTACAAGTATAACGAATCTAACATGAGGCTAGGAGAATAAGTGTTACAAGTATAACGAATCTAACATGAGGCTAGGAGAATAAGTGCTACAAGTATAACGAATCTAACATGAGCCTAGGAGAATAAGTGCTACAAGTATAACGAATCTAACATGAGCCTAGGAGAAAGCACAGCGTGATCGTTACTACATGTAATTATATAATATAAATAATATATATATATAATATAAAGGTAATGAGGGAGAAAGTGCGGCAATTTGACTTGCTAACAATCCAACAATATACAATGAGAATCTAATACATGCAATTACATTTGCAATTGTGTGTCCGGGTGTATTGTGTATAGCCGATTAAGTAATTATGTCCGGATATTGATAAGAAATGTATCTCCGGATTTGTTTAATTGGCTCCGTAAAATATGTGAATAAATTACATTAATTAATCCCCTAATTAAACACTACATCAATACAATACAATGTATAACTATATGTTACTTAAATATCATGCTAATATGCAAACCAGTTAAACATAATTGTATACAAATTACAGCGATACTTACAGGCGATAATTACAGCGATACTTACAGGCAATGGTGAGAGTCTGGCAAATCCATCTTACTCCCACTTCCATCTTGTGGTGATGATATCTGGACAGGAGGGGGTAACCAGGTAACCAGGGAACCAGGGGTAACACGAGAAACAAGGTGTGGTGAGATGATCTCTAGAAGAACTATAACTATATAAGTATACACCAAGGAAATGGGGTTTATCGGGTAGAAAACAAAGTTGTAATATCAGCGGGCACCAAGAATAGTCTCCAAGTGCTTCCTCATAGCATTTCTTCCTGAACTTTAAAAGTTTTAAAATATTTGATTGAGAATCCACATAATATCATTATCACAAGACTTCACACCGAGAATTTGAATTGTTCTAACTTATCATTCTGTTCTAACTTGTCACGTTGTTCTAACTTGTCACTTTGTTCTAACTTGTCACTTTGTTCTAACTTGTCATTTTGTTCTAACTTGTCACTTTGTTCTAACTTGTCACTTTGTTCTAACTTGTCACTTTGTTCTAACTTGTCACTTTGTTCTAACTTGTCACTTTGTTCTAACTTGTCACTTTGTTCTAACTTGTCACTTTGTTCTAACTTGTCACGTTGTTCTAACTTGTCACTTTGTTCTAACTTGTCACTTTGTTCTAACTCATACTGCATTACCTTGACATACTATTTTACCATGTCAAGTTATTCTAATTTTCCACGCGTGCAGTTTTTTAAATTGACCGATAAAATATACAAAGCGTGTTTGCTAAATGCTTTTACTGCTTAAAACTGGCAACAACAACTCGAAAATACGAAGTATCATTTGACGAACAGAGCAAGAAAACAAACAAATGTACATGGCTCATCGTAACTTGTGAATACAAATGTATCACTATAAAGGAATGAGCACGTTAAATTGAATCAAGCAATATTTAATGATTTCGCAAGGAACAATTCAGCGCCCCACTCGCCGGTGGCTGCTGGTGTAAACTGATGATTTAACACTCCGTCCGAAGAATTAGCTCCGTCTGGAGAAGCTTCAGGTTCAGAGCAGTGAGCAGGTCACAACCTGGTTACCTGGTTACCTGGTTACCTGGTTACCTGGTTACCTGGTTACCTGGTTACCTGGTTACCTGGTTACCTGGTTACCTGGTTACCTGGTTACAGTGAGCAGGTCACAACGAGGCACAAGGAGCAAACCCAGGTAATGTCTGCGGTACCTGGTTACCTGGTTACCTGGTTAGTGGTTACAGTGAGCAGGTCACAGCGAGGCACAAGGAGCAAACCCAGATAATGTCTGCGGTACCTGGTTACCTGGTTACCTGGTTACCTGGTTACAGTGAGCAGGTCACAACGAGGCACAAGGAGCAAACCCAGGTAATGTCTGCGGTAGTGAGCAGGTCACAACGAGGCACAAGGAGCAAACCCAGGTAATGTCTGCGGTACCTGGTTACCTGGTTACCTGGTTACCTGGTTACAGTGAGCAGGTCACAGCGAGGCACAAGGAGCAAACCCAGATAATGTCTGCGGTACCTGGTTACCTGGTTACCTGGTTACCTGGTTACAGTGAGCAGGTCACAGCGAGGCACAAGGAGCAAACCCAGATAATGTCTGCGGTACCTGGTTACCTGGTTACCTGGTTACCTGGTTACAGTGAGCAGGTCACAGCGAGGCACAAGGAGCAAACCCAGATAATGTCTGCGGTACCTGGTTACCTGGTTACCTGGTTACCTGGTTACAGTGAGCAGGTCACAGCGAGGCACAAGGAGCAAACCCAGATAATGTCTGCGGTACCTGGTTACCTGGTTACCTGGTTACCTGGTTACAGTGAGCAGGTCACAGCGAGGCACAAGGAGCAAACCCAGATAATGTCTGCGGTACCTGGTTACCTGGTTACCTGGTTACCTGGTTACAGTGAGCAGGTCACAGCGAGGCACAAGGAGCAAACCCAGATAATGTCTGCGGTACCTGGTTACCTGGTTACCTGGTTACCTGGTTACAGTGAGCAGGTCACAGCGAGGCACAAGGAGCAAACCCAGATAATGTCTGCGGTACCTGGTTACCTGGTTACCTGGTTACCTGGTTACAGTGAGCAGGTCACAGCGAGGCACAAGGAGCAAACCCAGATAATGTCTGCGGTCTGTACTTTTATGTTTTGATTTATACCCTCTTCACTGACGCAGGGAAAATTTTTAGCTTTCATCAGCTGATGCCGGACCAGTCAATACTACGTTTTTACGTGTGATAATAGTGTAGACTGACTGACAATTGTAATTAGATAGGCACATTATTGTACATACCTTGGAATCGACAAGGTTTTATATAGTTTTCGGTACCAGGCCAAAGCATATTTGTACAATCTCACCGGTAAAAGTTTATTTTAAATAAGATGTGAGCGACTGAGAACCAAGTCGGCACAAAATGGAAGCCTCGCAGTATCTAATTGTGCATGACTGCTATACACGCGTAACCCGGAGGCAATTGGAAACAGTTGATTAGCAGATCTGTACCCCCACTTGTATCGGTGGTAGTTAGATTAGGTTCCTCTCAACGAGTCGGGTCATTTGCATGGTCCTACCAGCTATAGGAGTTAGGACACCACACGACAGTCTCACAGTTGCATGGTCCTACCACAGTAGCGCCAATTTCCCACACCTTAACAGGCCATTATTCATTAACAGGTTCCCAATCAGAATTACACAGGATTACATAGGATTAAAATTAAATCATAAGTTCACTATCGTGAACCGTCAGTGACGTGATCTGATTCGACATGTCAGATTCTCAAAACGACAGTTGCGCCAACACGGTAATGTGGTCCAAGGATCACTGGACATTGCAGAGGGTCACATAATCCTTGTGGAGGGATGTGATATCAAGTGCATATCTGATGCATCAATGCAACCTTCCATGAAGATTACATGCTCTACAAAAGTGTGTAGGTGAGGTGTATTGTGTAACCAGGTAACCAGGTAACCAGGTATTGTAGGTGAGGTGTATTGTGTGAGGAAGATTGTTAAAGTTGCGACGACAAAGTTGGCTGAGTGGGTGGCCTGGTGAGGTTCAGGTAAACTAGCTTATTATAAAGTAATCTTATAAAAACGCAAGGAACTGCGTCTATTGAAGCAAGCCGCAATAAGGTGGAGCAATTAGCAAACTTACAACTACCATTACCGGTATTTTGCGTAACAGTCGTGGTTAAGTAGAAAACAGAGTTAAAATAATTGGTGTTGAAAGCATATCAGCTTCTTGTTTGTGTTGCTATAGTAACTAGTAGTGTAACTGTAACTATGGTAACTGTTTAAGTTATGTTATAAACATTAAACATTGATATATGAAGCCTGGAAGGGTGAGTGGGAAGGTGGCCTACATATTTACATATTATTTGGACTGTAATATCGGTAGTAGTAGTAGTAGTAGTAGTAGTAGTAGTAGTAGTAGTAGTAGTAGTAGTAGTAGTAGTGATGTTATGGAGACTGGAGAGGTGAACCAAGTGATTTGAAATGTGAACAAAATTATCCAATGAGGTTGCAGGATGGATCACCAGCATTTAACTTGTAACTGAAGTCTGGAATTTATCCAGTGATTTATTTTTAACAAGAAAGAATATTTTAGGTGGAGGTGCAAGTAAAAATAGCAGGGTCTGATAAAGTAATTCAACACAGTCGCTTGAATGTTGAAGCGCGAAATATCAGAGGTCAAACTAAAATATATACTACTAACGAAAAATTAACACAGTTACATTTTAAGAAATGAACACTAATGAGATAATAATGGTATGAGAAGTTGCTGACAGGATTGTCAAGAAGATTGAGATTCTATAGACAATCATCTTATTTATAAAGGAGCATCGAGACACGGCTTATTTATAAGTTATAAAGGAGTTGTGTCTCAGTAACTATGGTAACTGTCTCAGTTCCGGTGATTGTGACCAGCATATCGCAAGGATCGTCTCCAGATAAAATTATAAATCAAATGCCCTACAGGAAATTTCCCATTAGGGATAGGCAGTGGTAATGTAACATTTAGATTTTAATTAGCAAATAATTATGAACACATTATTTCTCGATCAATTTGTACATATTTAGATATAAAAGGATTTGTTGCGTATAAGTAATATCGACAGCTAATTATTTACATTTACAACTACAAGGAGAGAAGGAGCAGGATCTGAAAAATATTGGGTTGCCATGCATCTACCTGAGCGATTATTCACATAATAGGAATTATTCACATATTACTTAAGCCAGGAAGGGGTTTGGAAAACTATATAAGCTAAGTACGCTGTGTGTAATGATAAAAATCAGGCTTACTCGACATAATACGTGAACTATCCCTTGTGGCAGCATCCTTAGGGCGAAGCTGGCTTTTAGTTTTGGAAATTCTGTCGGACACTGACAAATTAGATAATGCGAGAGTAGTTAGTAGTTAGTAGTAGTTAGTTAGACGTTCTTACCTGGACCACATTACCAATTAGTGCTGATCTGAATGAAAGAATGGATCTGTTTATTTTAGAAACGTTACGTTACAAGCTTCCTGCATTTATTATGTGCTTCCGAACTAATTCCCATTAAAAGTTCTTATTTACCGAGTTCGATTCTGAATAGAAACCTGCAGAGGTTTATGAAGCGTAGACCAACACTGACTGCCTAAAATGGTTAGCCAGTTTTCAACTAACTCGAGCTCGCCTATTTAACATTTGACAGCCTGAGAAACTTTAGAAGACAGATCAAGATGATGTTTTGACAGTTTTACCTCGCACATAATTATAACCATGACACAGCTGAGTCCAGGTAACCAGGTAACCAGGTAACCAGGTAACCAGGTAACCAGGTAACCAGGTAACCAGGTAACCAGGTAACCAGGTAACCAGGTAACCAGGTAACCAGGTAACCAGGTAACCAGGTAACCAGGTAACCAGGTAACCAGGTAACCAGGTAACCAGGTAACCAGGTAACCAGGTAACCAGGTAACCAGGTAACCAGGTAACCAGGTAACCAGGTAACCAGGTAACCAGGTAACCAGGTAACCAGGTAACCAGGTAACCAGGTAACCAGGTAACCAGGTAACCAGGTAACCAGGTAACCAGGTAACCAGGTAACCAGGTAACCAGGTAACCAGGTAACCAGGTAACCAGTTTATATTTGTGAGCGAATGTTTACCCACAGTTCTACTAACCCAGTGAAAAATATTACCTAACATCATAATCACAACTACTTACTACAAACTAAATTCAATCAAATATTTAGTGATTCCCATGCCATTTGTGTAGAACCAAGATTATATGTTAATTGTCAGAGTTAAACT